CTATCATCATTTCAAGTGTTTTAACTTTAATTTAACTAATGCTCAAGACAATAATTTTTTTTTTTTTTATATTTATGCTTTCATATAACCAACTATACCATGACACGTGCATCTTACTAGTGTTAAAAAATATATGGGAATTTTATTCAATAAGAAAATTAATTAATTATCAGTCACACTTCTTAAGAACCCTAATCCCCTTCCAACGAGATTCCATATAGTAGGAATCATCATCCTGTGCATAAACTCCACACTTGAAATGATGAGAGGTTCCTCCACGGCCAGGAGCTTCATATTTGAGAATTCCATTAATGTAAACTTTTACTCTACTGGCCTCAACATCATGAATTACATTCAATCTGAACCATTCATCATATACATTTGGGATAATAACAGGCTCCCTGTAGTATGAGAGCGAGCCATTGTAAACTCTGAGCATTAGGGTACTGGCATGAGGTGGGCTTGCTCCGAAAACTTGCATGACGCAGACGCCGGATGTTCCACATGGTACATACCCAAATGCTTCGAATTGCCATACACCAGAGGAGTAGTTGTATCCCTGTCATGAAAGAAGAAAGTGTTTGTTACTGCTCTCTACAGTTTAAAGTTTTAGATGACGCACGTTTAAAATATTAGTAAATAAGAATAAATGGAATTTAGAAAGAGAAAGAGTAGTTGTTTTACACTTATAATTATCTCAGAGCGAGGTTTTGTTGGGCTATTTCGAGATAAAGGTTTGTCTGTAGACAACACCCATAACTTATGAACTCCATTGATGAAGCTGTACCTTTGTTCAACAGGCAAGTTGTAGGGTTTTTGAATGTGATAAAAGGATGAATTAAATGGGAGCTCTATAAAGCCATGAGTTGGATCATTTGACCACCCCCTAGCTATGTAACTACATAGTGAAAAAGCTAGGCTCGAAAGAGCAAATTGATGAAGAGACTTCATCCAGCTTGACAATAGTCAACAAATGAAGTGCTATTGAGGATAAAATGACATTTGAGATGATGTTTGTCTTATTTATACCCTAAAATAATCTTGGAGGGTGAAATTATTTCTGCATATTTCCTCATATTCTAGTCAAGAAGTTTGGCTTATTATGTTTCTATAAGGGTCCGTTTGATAGGCAAAGTTGGAAATGAATTTCAATTTCATGTTAGTTGGAAAATAAAAACCCACCAAACCCATAGAAGATCGTTTTCCATGAAAACAAAGAAAATGCAGTTTAAAGTGGTTGTACTTTAGAATTCGGTTTCCATTTCCACGTTGCAATCAAACGGCCAAAGTGAAATTCGTTTTCCTCGGATATGACATTTTTCATGGAATTCGTTGCAATCAAACATGGCTTAACTGTTAATTAATTCTACTGATCAGTGCTGCAGAACTCACGTGTATCGTACACATGCTCATAAATATATAGAATGTGAATGTATAACGAATTTGTGTACGCGGGTTGGTTTTACTGACTGGATTGTGGGGTTTATCTGTTCGAAAACCCACAATTTATGAACTCCATGTCTGAAGCTATATCGATCTCTGATCTTGGAGTACATCATAAGGCCTTTGAATTACCAAATTTGGTTCATTTAGTGGAGAGGAATAAACCCTTTTGGAGGGCTCAATTTCAGGTCTGCAAGCCACAGCTCTGAATACTGTTGGTAGCAAAATTAGAGAGAAAGTAATAAAAAGAGGTTAAAAGGAAAGAGGAAGTCATGATTTCTTGGAG